ACCAGCAGGTCTGGGAAGGAAGATATGACAGGCTGACTGAGCACTGCTATTTCGAACCGGCAGCTTCTTCGGCGTACTGTGAAAAATGTATTCATGTTACCTTTTCTTTGGAGTTAACAAAGCAGATCGAGCGAGGAAACATGCAGCATAGGGAACAAATGTTCCCTACAATACTGCCAAGGCTTTGTGCTACAGTTTCGCACCGCCAGGTCTGCAGTTTCCATGACTACCCTACAGCACACTGCAACACTGTCGTCTGGAGATACGGGAAGGTGCCAACAGATAAAACAAAACCACCACTGGTTAAATTAAAACATCTGTGCGTTGACTGTCAGCCTCTTCTGCAGTTTGTTCACGGTCGGGGTCTAGCATTCTAACAGTTTCCTGCAGTTGTTTGCTCTTTTTGATTAGAGCCTGGATGTCCGCCTTTCTGGAGTGGACTTCGGCAAGAAAACCTGCAATCTGGGGACACAATCAAAGTCAAATAAGACCCACTTGCCTAGCTATGTTACGTTTTAAAAAAAGTAAAGTAAAGATCCCTTTTCACGCCTTTCGGCGCATCGGGCATATGGGCAGAGCGTCCCATATTTTTACAGACATCAGCACTCTGTGGGTAATGTGGTCAGCATTACGCCGGCTGTCCTTACTTTCCCAGGACAGCCCATCCTGGTACCCATTTTAGGCTGGGTCGACCTGCGACGTCCCATACCACGACAAAAATTCACGCAGCCTGCAGTGGGTTTCGATCGCCACGGACGCCGCTATGTTACGTTTTAGGTCTATAGTAAATAATGTAAAATGCCCCGTCTTAGACAGAGACATGTCACACAACACAACACATCGCTATCCAACAACACAACACATCGCTATCCCACAACACAACACATCGCTATCCAACATCACAACACATCGCTATCATCAACGTTTTTTCCCAAGAAAAATGAGTGTCTCACAAAAAAGGTGTCGGTGCTTACCATAAATTGACTGAACAAGTACTATACCAACATTATTAATGATAAAAACGGAACACCGTTATTTAACGCTATCAGAAAGAAGGAAAGATGGAAGGAATACTTCCACGAACTACTCAATCCAACAAATACACAAACTAAAGAATACTACTCCACCTATAAGGAAGAACAAGAAGAACCTTGCATCCTAATTCAAGAGGTTGAGAGAGTTATCAAGATGAGCCCAAATAATAAATCAGCAGATATAGACGGTATAACGAACGAGGCAATTAAAGCGTGCGGAAAAACCGGAGCAAAATGGCTACATAGAATATTCACGATAGCATGGAACGAAAGGAAAACACCGGAGGATTGGCAAAAAGCTATCATAGTCCCAATTTGGAAAAACAAGGGCAACAAAAGAGAGTGTGACACATACAGAGGAATTTCTTTATTGAGCCACGCAGGGAAGCTATATTCAAAAGTACTTGAGACAAGAACAAAACATATTGTAGAGACACAGCTGAGTAAAGCTCAGTTTGGATTTAGGAAAGGAAAAAGTTGCACAGACGCCCTTTTCACCCTAAGACAACTTAGTGAAAAGGCAATAGAATATAACAAACAACTCAATATAGCATTCATTGACCAAGAAAAAGCCTTTGACAGGGTAGACAGGAACAAACTATGGAATATATTGAACGACTATGGAGTACAAGGTCAGCTACTAGACAACATCAGATCTCTGTACCAAACAAGCTCAAGCGTAGTTAGAACAAATGTTGGTGTGACAGACGAATTCATACTAAGAACAGGAGTAAGACAGGGCTGTGTACTATCACCACTACTATTCGATATATACATGGACAGAATAACAACAGCTGCAAACCATGTAATGATAAGCGAACTGTTAACTACACCAAGCAATGAGACAGAGTTAGTTGAAAGAGATCATTATAATGAAAACATACACGCCGATCCTGAAGAAGTACATCCCCAACTGAACGAAATACTTTTCGCAGACGACCAAAGCATAATTCATGAAAACGAAAAAGAACTTCAAATCCACGTAAATGCGCTACACACAGTCTGCAACGAATATAACATGAAGATCAGCATCACCAAAACAGAAATTCTGAAAATAAGTAGAACACCTAATATACTAACTATTCAAGTTAACAACGAACAACTCAAACAAGTGCAGCAATTTAAATACTTGGGGAGCATCTTCACAGATGATGGAAGAATTGATAGGGAACTTGAGGCAAGATGTCAAAAGGCGAACGCAGTAACTTACCAACTCTCCCCACTGCTAAAACACCCAAGCATCACTATGGCACTAAAACGACAACTGATAAATTGCATATTTATACCAACCCTCTGCTACCAATGCCAAACCTGGTCCCTAACAAGAGCACAAGAGAAAAAGACCACGACGTGCGAAATGAGATGCTTACGTAAGGCTGCCAATGTCACAAGGAGAGACAGAGTTCGAAACGAGAACATTAAATCAATTGTAGGAACCACACCATGCCTGCAATACATAAAGAAGCAACAAATAGAGTGGTTTGGCCACTTGATGCGAATGCAAACCGACCAACTGCCTCTACGAGCATACAACGAACAACACTACTGCCCTAGAGCAAGAGGCAGACCGAGAGTACGGTGGATAGACAATATATCAGAGATCCTGAGGCAACAAGGACTAACAACAACACATGCAACACACCTGGCCCAGGATAGAAAACTGCGACTCCCCACTACGCTGTGAGGCAATTGTGGACAAGACAAGACAAGTACTATACTCATCACAGAGTATCTGTTACAGTAGAGCAGAAAAATATACCTAAAAAGGGTACCGGTTCTGTTTAGTGTCAGGTGCAGAAAACATTTCATGGCAATCATTCAAAAGAGCAGACGTGTCTACTAGCTGCCTTTTTAGGGGGGGGGGGGGTGGTTGGGGGATCTAGAATCCACAAGTTGTAAACTATTTTGCTCGGTACTATGGATATCGCAACCCTTCAGCCTTGATCACGTGATAGATACCGAAAATCTGGGAAATATGTGGCTTTTCTGCTTACCCACAAGCGTGAACTCAGACCACAAGGAATTTTCCCCCTGTCGCTAGCTTAACCAACTTTGCTAGCGCGCCGGGCATAATAAGGAAGAGCAATTCATATCATTGGCTGTTGTGTGCTCACCTGTTGCCTAGATACATAGGCGGCTCTCTCAGGCTGTGGACATTTGGGTGGCGCGGTGTTTGGTCGCTTCAGTTTATTCTTTAACTGTTGGCCGGCTCGCTTATATGACATCATCATCTTGGACTCGACTGTTGTAGGTCTCTGCTGCGAAATTCTCCGTGTTTCTGTTGCAGATAGTTTATCCGCCAACTGCGGGTTTGTTAGATCAGTTGTAGTCTTCGCTTCAATACTTGTTTGTGTAGCTCTGGAATGAGCCAACTGCGGGTTTGTTAGATCAGTTGTAGTTTTTGCTTCAATACTTGTTTGTGTAGCTCTGGAATGAGCCAACTGCGGGTTTGTTAGATCAGTTGTAGTTTTTGCTTCAATACTTGTTTGTGTAGCTCTGGAATGAGCCAACTGCGGGTTTGTTAGATCAGTTGTAGTTTTTGCTTCAATACTTGTTTGTGTAGCTCTGGAATGAGCCAACTGCGGGTTTGTTAGATCAGTTGTAGTCTTCGCTTCAATACTTGTTTGTGTAGCTCTGGAATGAGCCAACTGCGGGTTTGTTAGATCAGTTGTAGTCTTCGCTTCAATACTTGTTTGTGTAGCTCTGGAAGGAGTCAACTGCGGGTTTGTTAGATCAGTTGTAGTTTTTGCTTCAATACTTGTTGGTTTAGCTCTAGAGGGAGCGCTCCAAGTGAAACGACGCGCTGTCACAAGCCCAGTCGATCCTGATGTTGCCGACGTGCAAGTGTTGTATCCCCAGGGACGCGGTGAAGATAAGCTTGCTTGTACCTTTGCTGCCTCAATGACATCCCTGTTGGTATGATAACTATCTGGTGTCTCTGCACTAACGTGTGTTATTTTAGGCTCATGAGCGTTCAGATCAAATATTGTTTCAAACCGGCTGAGTACTTCAGTTCTCCATATTTGATCCTGAACTGAACTGGCAGCCGCACCATATTTAGAATGCTTGGAATCGTCACACTCAAGTTTTGAAGTAACCACTAAGTCCCGGTTCTCTTCTAATGTTTCTTTCCTAAAGTTAGCAGTCAATAATTTTCTTGGGAAATCCCCGCTATTTCTTTCTTTACAGTCGTCTTTTATTTCTGGGCGCGTCTTGTTTAACTGGCAATTGGGGTACACTTTCTTGTTGATATATGTGTTGTCCTCGACCGGTGGTTGTAATGCATTTCTCGATTTGATTAGTTTTGTGCTTGGGTGTCTAAAACTCCCAATATCTGTGGAGTATAACGTATACATACAGGTGTAGTTTTATGTGAGATATAATTTACATGAAATCAGATTTACTTTGTTGAGCTAGCTTTTTGTTATATATATATATATGTGTGTGTGTGTGTGTGTGTGTGTGTCTATGTGTGTGTGTCTGTGTATGTGTGTGTCTGTGTGTGTGTTTGTGTATGTGTGTGTATATATATATATATACATATATATAGTGTGTTAGTGCGTACAGGTGTGTATGTATGGGCTTGTTTTCAGCAATTTACCTCTACACTGTCAGTTGAATGACAGGATCCTCGTTGGTGCTATAGATCTGAGCTTATTCGGACTCAGACTTGAGTTTTAAAAAGAACGGAGCATTTATGGGCTAATACCCGGGTGCCATGATGTTGATCCGTTGTTCAAACCTCAAATCCCCAGCCTCTAAAGAAGTTACAATAAGGGGCACATGTAACAGCTACAAGAATTAGTCTTATGGTACAGGCGATCATTGCTATTGGTCTTATGGTACAGGCGATCATTGCTATTAATCTTATGGTACAGGCGATCATTGCTATTGGTCTTATGGTACAGGCGATCATTGCTATTAGTCTTATGGTACAGGCGATCATTGCTCTTAGTCTTATGGTACAGGCGATCATTGCTCTTAGTCTTTTGGTACAGGTGATCATTGCTATTAGTCTTATGGTACAGGCGATCATTGCTATTAGTCTTATGGTACAGGCGATCATTGCTATTAATCTTATGGTACAGGCGATCATTGCTATTAGTCTTATGGTACAGGCGATCATTGCTATTGGTCTTATGGTACAGGCGATCATTGCTCTTAGTCTTATGGTACAGGTGATCATTGCTATTAGTCTTATGGTACAGGCGATCATTGCTATTGGTCTTATGGTACAGGCGATCATTGCTATTAGTCATATGGTACAGGCGATCATTGCTATTGGTCTTATGGTACAGGCGATCATTGCTATTGGTCTTATGGTACAGGCGATCATTGCTCTTAGTCTTATGGTACAGGCGATCGTTGCTATTAGTCTTATGGTACAGGCGATCATTGCTATTGGTCTTATGGTACAGGCGATCATTGCTATTAGTCTTATGGTACAGGTGATCATTGCTATTAGTCTTATGGTACAGGCGATCATTGCTATTGGTCTTATGGTACAGGTGATCATTGCTATTAGTCTTATGGTACAGGTGATCATTGCTATTAGTCTTATGGTACAGGCGATCATTGCTATTGGTCTTATGGTACAGGTGATTATTGCTCTTAGTCTTATGGTACAGGCGATCATTGCTATTAATCTTATGGTACAGGCGATCATTGCTATTAGTCTTATGGTACAGGCGATCATTGCTATTAGTCTTATGGTACAGGCGATCATTGCTATTGGTCTTATGGTACAGGTGATCATTGCTATTAGTCTTATGATACAGGCGATCATTGCTATTGGTCTTATGGTACAGGCGATCATTGCTATTAGTCTTATGGTACAGGTGATCATTGCTCTTAGTCTTATGGTACAGGCGATCATTGCTATTGGTCTTATGGTACAGGTGATCATTGCTATTGGTCTTATGGTACAGGTGATCATTGCTATTGGTCTTATGGTACAGGCGATCATTGCTATTGGTCTTATGGTACAGGTGATCATTGCTATTAGTCTTATGGTACAGGCGATCATTGCTATTGGTCTTATGGTACAGGCGATCATTGCTATTAGTCTTATGGTACAGGCGATCATTGCTATTAGTCTTATGGTACAGGCGATCATTGCTATTAGTCTTATGGTACAGGCGATCATTGCTATTGGTCTTATGGTACAGGCGATCATTGCTATTAGTCTTATGGTACAGGCGATCATTGCTATTAATCTTATGGTACATGCGATCATTGCTATTAGTCTTATGGTACAGGCGATCATTGCTCTTAGTCTTATGGTACAGGCGATCATTGCTATTAGTCTTATGGTACAGGTGATCATTGCTATTGGTCTTATGGTACAGGCGATCATTGCTATTGGTCTTATGGTACAGGCGATCATTGCTATTAGTCTTATGGTACAGGCGATCATTGCTATTAGTCTTATGGCACAGGCGATCATTGCTATTAATCTTATGGTACAGGCGATCATTGCTATTAATCTTATGGTACAGGCGATCATTGCTATTAGTCTTATGGTACAGGCGATCATTGCTATTGGTCTTATGGTACAGGCGATCATTGCTCTTAGTCTTATGGTACAGGTGATCATTGCTATTAGTCTTATGGTACAGGCGATCATTGCTTCTTGAATACATATTTAACACAGTCGTTTCTTTTAGGGACACAAGAAGTGACTACAATGTGGGAATTTAACACACATACACAAAAGGTAGGGGGGGGGGGGGGTCTACAGGTCTTATCTGAGACCATCCCCGCCCCAACGATTTAGACTACAGTTACTGTAAGACAGTGAAGGCACAAGGTGTGGGTTGCTAACTAACCTGAAGTCCTATGTTGAAGACACAGGATAAACTGTCTCAGATCCCTAACGTATCTCTCCAAGCTTCTGGTTGTCATCCTATGCTCCTCTTTGATAATCTAATCACGAGAAAGCACAAGACATGGCCAATCCATTTCCGCACAGTTATCATTGGTCAATTTGTTAAACATATGATATTTACTAACGGAGACGTACAATCAGAATACCTACCCCTAACACACTGAAACAGATTGATTGAGGGGAGAGAGAGCGCGCGCCAGAGAGAGAGAGGATAGAGGGAGAGAGAGAGAGAGAGAGAGAGAGAGAGAGAGAGAGAGAGAGAGAGAGAGAGAGAGAGAGAGAGAGAGAGAGAGAGAAAGAGGTCATATAGAAAGTTAACTAGAAAGTCGTATCTATAATAGCCCGCCGATAAAACACTGGGTACACTGCCAGTGTCCCACAGTCGTAAACTTGCGTGCCTGAGAAGTCTCCATGTGTTCCATATTGACGCTTTACATCTATGACTGTTTCACACATTGGCTGGCCAGGAGACGACTTCGTCACCGATCGGGGCAGTATTGAGTCTGTCTCCCTTGATCGCGTCAAGACTGCAAGAGTCCCTACTTGGTGGCCAGCAATGTTAAACCATTTTATACGGCGCAAATAACCTAGTCACAATTATAACTTAACGCTGTCCCTTCGGGAATGCTGGGTGAACATGGCGATTTTGTTGGGCAGAGCAATAGAACGGAAACGGTTCTGTATATAGGCTGTGGTTTCAATGGTTTGTTAAACTAATTAAGTTGTTGATGGTTTTCACCAACAAACAAGCCCATAACTGGTCTCACACTCACCTACACTGGACTACATGGTTACTCTGTAGACGTTTTGTGGTGCCCAAATATAATTGTGCAAAACGGCTATTTGGTTGAACGGGACAACTGGGAATTGTACCTGTTTGATTCTCATCCTTAAGTTTGATTCTCATCCTTAAGATGTTATAGACTGCAGTCCTGGTCCGGGGGAAAACAAAAACAAAAATAAATGGGTAAGACTTAAAGGTTGTAGTTTTGATCACTTCTTCTTATTTCAACAGCTGCTTATTTCCTAGCGGCTTTTAGTTTATATACTATGAGGCAGGTACAACTCGATTAACAATGGGCAAAAATGAGAGCCGGATCTGAAAGAAAGACATATCATATCAGGATAAACATTTGGTGAGTTACTTGGTGAACTATAAGTTAAACTATCTCTCTTGTTACAACACACACACATATATATATATATACACACACACACCATGCACACGCATACAATAAACACACCAAGAATTTAGTGTGACTTAACGTGTAGGCCCAAGTTGCGGCATAAAAACATGTCCACATTCGACATATGGAACTGTGTCCCACAAACCGCAACAGCCAGCATGTAACAACGAGACATTTGACCAGCAACACTGGAGTCAGCTCGCAGAGACAATCGGAAACTATCTTATCTGATCGACTAAATCTCTAGCTAATGCTACAACCTGGCAACCGTGAAATGTAACGAAGTCAATTTCATAGACTCGGAATCCTCCGCCACTTTTCGGTTGTATGTCTAGTAGGCCTGGACCATTCAGACACAGTGTCGTGAAATAGAAGGATGAATCGGGTATCTGGGTTAGTTTTGTTAGACTGACATCCAGCATACGACTGTCAGGAGTGTCAAACCGTCGGGTGACAGCTCAAAGAGATGTCAGTCAGTCAGATATCTTTATCAGGTCACCTGTGGGTATAACCTGCATTATTTGGCGTGGTTCATGTTAGGATATCTCGACAAAACATAAAAAGACCCCCAGGACAGCCCAGCTTAGTAACTGTCCGACTAGTCACTTCTCTTCATCAGGTATAACAACAACAACAACACAACAGGGACAATTTGCACCTATGAACTGAAAAATCTGTATGCTAAAAAGTGTTTTAGAAACACAACGACCCAATTATCTTGAGCTTTATTCAGAAGCTGTTGATTTTACGTTCTGCTGTTGTACCAGAAGATTGTTATAATAATTTTGCAGTCATTGCCCATTTCTTTTGTAACGAGAAATAACTCCAAACAGTCTCACAATTACAGTATCATTTTGCTATTTTTACTATACCAAGAAAACAGACAAAAACAAACATAAACGTAGACAGATGGCGAAAAACCTCCCACTTTCGTAACATTCTAGAAACCACAGGATAAGACAAGTAACTTCAACACATCGAACAGCAACTCTACCTGTAGCCTGACATGAAGTTGTCTTTCTAGTAACCAATTCTCTTTCCACACGGCTGGGCGCAGGAATGACAACTGCGTCATCTTCCAGTCTAAGATAAAGCGCCAAGTCTAAAAACGGTCAATGAACATGTGTCACATATGACAAGTAATTTATTTTATTATTAGACACGTGGATTAGGCAGGAGACAGGTGCAGGGTGGGTTTGAATAAAGATAAATTAGTATGTGAAACAAACATCAGCTTCTCCGCTTTAGTACAAAAGATATACACAAACTAAATCTTTTCTGACTAAACAAAGGCTAAACAAAGTTGAACTCACCGGGCAGTACACAGAATCAACAAGCTACGATTCCTCTGGCGGATGTGCAAGACAAACAGGCTACAGCTTCCCTTGTAGCAAGGTAAGGACCCCTTTCCATGCCATTAGAAGCATTGGGTATACAGAGCTAGATACATTTGTATACCAAGTGGCACTCTGTGGTTGATGTGGTCAACATCACACAGGCTGCCTTTACTTTCCAGGACTTTACCCGGTACTAGTTTAAGGTTGGGTCGACCTGGGAGCTTTCAAAACAAATCCAGCTGTATGCGGATTTAAACCCACGACTTTCGGGCAGGCAGGCGAGCGTCTAGTCGCTACACCTCACCGGCAGCCCCCTGCAGTCTGCGTTCTATCAAGCCTGTGGCGCCGACATGTAGCACAAGAGTTAACATCAACAATGTACAAGTCAGAACTCAACTTTGGATTTCTTTCATAGGAAATCTCCTCCCGTGTGGTTTCCGGGGCCCGTTGTGGGGAACACAAGAACAGATCTACGGCCACTCCAACTAGCATGTCGCAAGTCGACTAGTTAGAGATTTTTTCGAAGTCAAAGTATATCTGCCCGAGGCAAGGAACCAACAGTCTGCATAAAAAGAAGTCAGATCTACAAAAACGGATGTGCACGCAACACTCAATATATGGACCAAGACTAATTACTTGTGGTCCGGGTTCACTCCCGGGGGTAGGCAGAAAAGCCACATTTCTTCCAGATTTACGGTATTTATCGTGGAATCAAGGCCGAAAGGTTGCGATATCCATAATACCGAGCTTAAGGGTTAACAACTCATGGCTTCTGGATACTAAAACAAACAATGTCCAGAGGTAGACTAACAACCAAACCTTTCCGCTGGAGTTCACAGCAGGTGAACGCGAAGATTTGAAATGTGCATGGGTTGCATCGACAGTTGCTGTTGTTTTTTGTTAGTTGTCTGGAAGACTGTCTTCAATCTGAAGTCTGATGCTACGATTTTAAAATGCGACTTAAAACAACAACAACAGGGCAATAAAAAACATCTATTATTCCTTTACTAAATAAAGCATGGAAAGTCCTCTCTGAAGCCTCAAGTACCACTAGGCATAACGAGAACTGAACACCCATGAATTATTCCTGTACTGGCGCATGTATTGTAAGTACTTACAGAATCGAAAGGTACCTCGACCTTGTCCTGTGAACACCAACCAGTGAGCTGTATACAATGTAACCGAGAACTTCAGAGAAACCAATATCTTGTCTCAGAACACGCCTGTCTGTGAAACCAACCGCAGCGTTGTTTAAGTCGGCCAGTCAGACAGCTTCACAAATCCCGGACTAAGGTTATTAAGCAGAGATTAAAGGTTTTAACAACACCGCCCGTGTGTTCGCTTAGTGGTAATTTGTTAGTAGCAGGATATTCAGACTGCCGATGTTTGCTAGTCTTTTTCTCGCGGCTTCTGGTTGCAGATTTATATGGGATACTAAGTAAAACTGAAGGGAAGTAGGCACCTCACCACTCAAAGCAGTCGTCTTTTACGATAATGTGTAAATGTTGATGACACATAGCGACATCATCTTTATAGGAGGGGCTTTGCAGGATGTCGTTCTCATAATGGCATAATGGAAAGCCACCCTGACATACACCAATGGAGTCTGTTGTGCCCAGTTGCAAACTGGACCAGTTGGGCCTGATCTGTGCACAAGCACATAATAGTTTAAAAGGTCGCAGGGTAAGTATGAAGCTCATCCTGTTTTGTTCGTTTTATTCAGAAATGATTACAACAGTTTAGTACGAATCTCTCCCAGTTGGTTTCAACTACCGTTGATGATCGTATAAGATAAAGAATTATGATTCCATCTTTAGCTTTCTCCAACAGCGCAAGGTGTATGTATAATGAAAATTAAAAAACTACACGCCATTATCACTAATGTAGACTGTAAATGAAAAGGGGTAAAAGACTGTGTTACCTTGTTATCCTTATGACATACTTGCAACTCGGTCTAACCCATTCGTGCTCCGTCTTCCGATGCAGCAGCCAGCGCAGTGTCTCCATGCTTATCGTACCCAGTAGTAGTTGAGTAGCATATCTTTTTTTTTTTGCCGCGCCACTGCTTTCTACATGCTTATCCTATTTTAATATCCATTGTTTCTGAACGAATCCCGTGTCTGAAAACGTCTCTGAAAGGCTGTGCACTCAGTACGTCTGCCTTGTCCATACTTCTTCCGTCACTAACCACTGCAGACACGGCCACTTTCATTTCCTTTCACCCCGGCATGTTCTCGTGTATGCAGCCAAAATACTTTCTGGAAGTGGGCTTCTGGAGGCTGCAAACCCATTCTAGTTAGAGTTTTCCAGTCTGGATCTTCTTAAGCTGCTTATTGAGTCTCTTACTATTAATGCGTGAGCTGCTTTCTGTCACTATCTAAGCAGGTGACCCTGTAACAGCCGCAATCTTAATCGTCATGATAGGAGTAGTTGAACTGTAGACTGAGCTCCACGAATCACGGAGCCATCCGTATAGATGGTGGCGTGACTTAGACAAGTGAACTAGTGGATAATGGACTTGATTTATTTCAGCATCAGAGGCTGTGTCTTCATTATCCACAATACTGGCCTATGGGGATTATGATTCCAATGTTCTAATGAATTGTTTCTGGTGCTTCTAACCATTTAGGATTGAGAGACAATTGTCTTGACATCGACCTGGCTGCCACAAGATACAAAGAAAGGTGATATTGTGTATTTGTGTATTATTGTCTAAAATATGTAAGTGCTGAAGAAGGCTCCATAGCCGCAACGTTCACGTTTTGTTTGTGTTTGTTATATTGTGAAGCTCGCTGATCTAAAGTTCGGTTTTATAACTTTCCATGATATTCTAACCATTTAGCATAGAGCCTGACACGTTCTAATGGAAATACTTGGCTAACATTGTCCTCAGCTTCTGTCACCTAGGACTGGTCCCTATGTGTTTGCCTTTGTTCACTTTCTGTTACCTGAAGACGTCGAGTGTTTCCTGTCTCTATATTCTGTGTTCTACATCTTGGACTTCCAGGCAGTGCATTACAATGTGTTTATCTTACTATTTCAATGACCTTTAGGGTTGCCCATGGATTTATTTCTGTGTATTACGTATAGCAAAATGTAAATGACTGATCATTTCATCAGTAAGTGTTGACTGAATACTAGGCACAGCATTAATGTCTGTATATGTATGAATGTGTGCTTGTTGTTGTCAATCTATGCTTGGTTGATACAGATTTCTGTAACCTGCTGTGCTATTTCAATGGTTGGATACTGATTCTATCTATATTGCGTAGTTGTCCGTTCAAGTGTATGACAGACCATGCAAAACATCAGACCTATCTAGGGCTGTCTACTTGGCCATGTGACAGCAAGGTGCCGTGTCATCAGAGGTCTTTAGGCTTTTAATTTGTATGTTGTCTAGTGTGTCCTGCTTTGACTACTTTTCCTGCAACTATCAGTGCCAATCAGTGCATTACAATTTACATGTATTTACCATACAGCATCATAAAAGTGACAGGTGACATCAAAGTAATACTTTGGTATTATACGGCCCGGTATGATGCACCACCTTCAGTTGGGATGAGTTAACTGATTTCTTGGACATTTCCATAAGCGCTTAGTTCCCAACTTTAGCAGCCAGCGAACAGCTCCAACGTTGATGTTACCAGCTGCAGTCTGTTTGTCTGTTCTTCTTGCTTTTAAGTGTCGCTAGATTGCCCTGGTCACTCCCTGGTGAACCATTCTCTCATTTTCACATAAAGTTCACATTCACCTTCCAAATTATGCAGGACAGATGTTGACCACTGTTTCACATAAAACTGACTAATTTTCCAAACATTATTAAAGGAAAGTGTGAAACAAAAGAGACAGGGTAAAAAAAAAAAAAAATTACAATGATTTAT